CACTGGGCCTGTCACATCTAGACTTGCCAGAACATTTCTGATATAGGGGTTTGTGCCTTTAGCAACTATCAGACAGAAATTGAGCAAGGACAGCTTTCCAGTCATTGTTTCTGAAAGCTATTTATTTAATGGAATTTCTGTCTATTAGGTTGCTGCTGAGAATCAACATGGTGTAGCAGTTTGAGTATTGGACTCTGACTCTGGAGACCATGGTTTGAATCACTGCCTGGCCATGGAAACCCACTGGATGAACTTGGGCTAGTCACAGATCTTGCCAATCCCTTTGTTAAGTTTGCTGCTACTGCTGCTGCTGTTGTTGTTGTGTGCCTCCAAGTCATTTCCAACTTATGGTGACCCAATCTTGGGAATTTCTTGGCAAGATCTGTTCAGAGGAGATTTGCCATTGTCCTTCCCTGAGGCTGAGAGCATGTGACTTGGCCAAGGTTACCCAGTGGGTTTCCATAGCCAATTAGGGATTCAAACCCTGGTCTCCAGTGTCAAAGACTCAATCCACTATAGTCACAATTAGTTGGACTTGAAGACACAACAACAACAACAACAGCAAATGTTGCTGTTACAGAAACATTACAGTTGCCTCTCCTTTTTCACAGAGGATCTGTTCCAGACCCCCTCCACGAAAATGAAAAATTGCAGATATTCAAGCCCCATTGGCTTGAATGGTTGCACGCTCCTGCATGTGCGTCTGTGTGCGCGCCGTTGCCATGTGTATCATTTTAACCAATGGGGACTGCCATTCCCCACTGTGGACTTCAAGTCTGCTAAAATGGAGGGGCGACTGTATATCTCTGTCTATCAATATCTAGGAATTAGTGTTCCTTCCAGATGAACATTTTGTTAGTTAATAGTAAATATAATTTCGAGCACATTTACTGAGTGGAATTCAAATGTTTAAAGATTTTTTTTTGGCAGGATTTGCTCATAAAGCTGGCTTTCAAACTGGCTTTGACTTATAATGACCCTGTGAATGACAGCATGTCCCATATTCCTACAAAAAGAAAGAAAAGGGCAGACAGGGTGGCTAATGGTAAGAACAGTTCAACTCAAATATAAAATTAAAACATAAAAACACATTTAAAAGACAATTTAAAAGCACAACAAAAGTACAATAGAAAAGAAATAGCAGAACAACTTCAAATTCCTCCAACAGAAACCCAGCTTTATTTCCAAAAGCTTCTCTGAATAAAAAGATCTTTGCCCTGGAGGAGTAATGAGTAATGCAGCAAGTTACTATGTTAAAACACTGTAAGGAGTAACAACAAGCCTTTCAATCACTTTCACAGGCTGCATCTACACTGCAGAAATAATGTGGTTTGACATCACTTTAACTGCCATGGCTCAATGCTATGGAATTCTAGGATTTGTAGTTTTGTGAGATATTTAGCCTTTTCTGTCAGAGGCTTCTGGTGCCACAACAACAAACTACAAATCCCAGGATTCCATAGTGCTGAGCCATCACCATTAAAGTGGTGACAAATTGCATTATTTCTACAGTGCAAATTCAGCCACAGGTAACAGGAAGCAATTATTTTTTAAGAGTAACTTTTCAGGGCTGAGAAAGGCTTTGCCTGAAGATCTTAATTCTTTACTTGGAAGGATATGGCTTTTAGATTGCCTTTTCTCAAGTTGTCAAATTCTTACTCAACAACATTGTAAGAAAAGCCAAACTTGTTATGGTAGATGGGGAACTGAGGCTGAGGCCACAGTGCAAACGGCAGAAATAAAGCAGTTTGAACAATTTTAGCTGCCATGACTCAGATCTATCAAATTCTGGGATTCATAGTTTTGTGAGATATTTAACCTTCCCTGTTAGATAGCTCTGGTGCCCCACCAAATGACATCCCATGATTCTAGAGCAGGGGTCGGCAACCTACAGCCCTACGCCGGACAACCTACGCCGGACTTACCGGCCCAGGCGGACCCCTGCAGCCTCCGCCACCGCCACGGTGCCTCCGCCGCCCGTTTTCGTCAGCGTGCGACCGTGTGCGCTGCGGCCAGCATTTTGTTCACCAAAATGGTGGCTGCGACGCGTTTGCGCATGTGCAGGATTTGCGCATGCGCAAA